ATTGGATCAATATACCTAAGTGACTTGCAATCTTACTGGTTGCTCATAATTTTGACCCACATTATACCCACCTCATTGTTTTGCTCTATAAAAGTTCCTTTGAGAGGTGGGCCCCTCCTGTCTCTCAGGAGTTTTTTTTTTTTTTTTGAGACAGGATCTTGCTGTGCAGTTCAGGCTGGCCTTGAGCTCACTTTGTAGCCCAGGCTGGACTCTAACTCACAACGATCCTCCTGCCTCAGCCTCCTGAGTGCTGGGGTTACAGGCGTGCACCACCATGCCTGGCTCAGGAGCTATTTTTATTCCCTGTTCCTATTTCCTATTCCTATTTCCCATTCTTTTTCTCCAGTAAATTTTCCTACTCTTAAAAAAAAAAAAGGATGTTCAAAAATCAAAAGGTTGATCATACCAAATGTTGGTGAGGCCATGGAAGTCCTGTGTAAAGTCTCATACACTCCTGGTGTAAATGTAAAATGGTACAAACATTTGGGGGAATGGTTAAGTAATTTCTTTTAAGCTTCTTTCTCTTATTTTTAAGTAGCTTGAATAGAATCCCACCTGAAAGACACCAAAGCAAGCACCTCCTTCCATCTCCCCAGCTTACAGGTGAGAAGCTGAGACTCCAGCAGATGATGGGTCCTGCCAGAGGAGACATGGCAGGTGTACAGCAGCGCCTGATTTAGGACTCAGGGCACCCGACTCCAAGTCTCTCCCAGTTCACACTTTCCTGACCCCTGGGTACTGGTGCCTTCCAGGGACCAAATGACTTGTTTAGAACCAGCGGATTCCCTCAATTGCATGTGATCGAGCCTCTGCAGTCCTAGGAGTTTATCCAAGAGACACAGCACATGACTGGACCAAGACAAATAAAAACATAAATGTTTATAGAACTACTTGAAATAACTAAAAACTATACACAATCCAAATGTCCATCAATAGTTAAATGGTGCCTTAGTTACTTTTCTCATTGCTGGGACAATATACCCAACACCCACAAGTTAAGGGAGGGAATGATATTTAGCTCATAGTTTGTGGAGGTTTCAGTCCCTAATGAGCTGGCCCCAAGGCAGACAGGCATTGCAGAAGAGAACAATTCATAATGGGCAGAAGATAGCAAAGCAACAAGGGACAAACACAGCTCTTTCTATCCCTTGCAGCTTATCCAGAATCCTTAGGGTGGGCCGCACTCGCATCCTTAACCCTAGTGCCCTTGATCCTAGCACTGCACCGAGAATCAATTCCAGTGTCCCACATTCTAGATCTGGCCACCTATGAAAAAGCTTCACTTACGACCACATGAGGTTTTGGGAGGACATCAAGACACAAACCCTAAGAAACATAAACAAATTATATATTCATACAATTGAGTACTGCTTGAATAAAAAAGGAATCAACTGTTATTAATACACACAACTTGGAAAAGTTCAAAGTAATTATTCCAAGTGAGATTATCCTACTCTATGTCCAAGAAAAGAGAGGCTATACTGTTTGATTCCACTTTTGCAAACTGATCTAAAGAGATAGGAAGCAGATTGGTGGTTGCCTGGGGATGGTTGAGGGTAAGTGATGTAGGAAAGGGATTATAAAAGGTTACTGGAGCTTGGAGGGTGATGGATATATTCATTGTTGTGATTATGACAATTTCACGGGCGTAGACATTTGTCAAAACTTACCAAACTGTGCACTTTAAACATGTACAGTTTATTGTGTGCTGATAAAGCTGTTAGAAAAGTACAGTGCCTGTGCCCTAACACTGCCTAGTGGGATTTCGTGGTGAAGCCAGGACTGGCCACTCGCCCCCAGAGACTCACCCTTCTCCTGCGGTGTGCGGTGCTAGGGAAGCCACAGCCCATCACTCCATCTGTGGGGACCCGTCTTCTTTTCACAAGATCTCCCACCTTCTCTGCTGGAACTTTTGGCTGGATAGTGGTAAATAAGGCCCACTGGTCCAAAGGAGACTGAGAAATTGAACCCACTGGGTATGGACCTGACCTCCGCTTCATGTCACCTCTTTTAGGAAATCCTCAAAGCCAACATTCTTCCCTGAGCTTCTGACAGCAGCAACATCATAGATAAAAAGTGGATCAACTCACTGACGGGTAGATAAACATGATTCCTTCTTTTGGCTTTACACAAATTGCCTTGAATTGTAGTCTTTGGGTGCTTGTCCTGCCTTTACTAAACCATACCCCAACACATTTCCTTTTTTTTTTTTGGTCTTTTTGAGACAGGGTCTTGCTATGCAGTTCAGGCTGGCCTTGAGCTCACTTTGTAGCCCAGGTTGGTCTTGAATTTGCAACAATCCTCCTGTCTCAGTCTCCCCAGTGCTGGGATTATAGGCGTGAAGCACCACTCCCAGCCCCCACACTTCCTTTTTGACATGGCCACTGGGAAGCTCACGGTCAAGATGGGGTTCAACTGGATGACTGACTCATCCTAGGTGCCTATTACTAGGTATTTTCCTGCTCCTGTTAGCTGCTTTTCATTTTTTTTATAACTGTATTTATTTCTGATCTGTTTTATAGTGTGTTCCATTTTATGAAATCTCAGATTTATTTTACAAATTGGTAGGGTTTCATCGTAATACCTCTCCCCATACCACCTCTGCAAGGTCAGAGAGTAGGTCTTGCACATCACCTCTGTGCCCCGCTGTGTACCTGGGAAGGAACACTGCATGGCGTGAATGCTCATTCAAAATATGTTTGGGCTGAAGCTGGGAGTGGTGGTGCACACCTGTAGTCCTAGCACTCAGAGGGCTCTGGCAGGGGAATTGTGAGTTCAAGGCCAGTCTAGGCTATATAGTGAGACTCTGTCTCAAAAAACAAAACATAAAACAAAACAAAAAGCAGAAACGAAACAAATACCCACCCCAACAGATTAAATGGCTATAGTTTAGATCTAAAATGATTATGTGGGTAATTCAGAAGTGGGGCTTTTGGAAGGTGATTGGATTGTGGGGTTCTATACTCGCCAGGGCAGTGCCTAGATGAATGTGCTTTTAGGAGGCCGGGCAGAATGGGAGGAGAAGAACCACTGGAGGCATAACCTGGAAGGCTGTATTCTTGTGCCCCACAGATCCCTTTTCTCTTTCTGCTTGTTGACTTCTATGGGTTAAGAACCTTTCTTCTACTGTGCCCTTCCACTGTGCCATTTCTGCCTTGGAGCCAGCTGACCATGGCCTCAACTCTCTGAAACCATGAACCAAATAAACTTCTCATAAGTTTCAGGTGTCAAGGAGAAAGAGAGAGAGAGAGATGTTATGAAGCTGGGAGATCGCTCAGTAGTAGAGCATTTGACTAGCTAGCATATGCAAGGGCCTAGGTTTGATCCCTTGCACAACAAAAAATATGCTGCATATATTAGATAACTTTTGATAACTATGTAAGGGAATGTTCGGTAAGGAAGCTGGATGCTATTATCAACATATTTCTATTTCCTGTTTCCCATGGCACTCGTCATATTCATGCAGATGCTAAAACGACTGATCTTCCATTTGACCCTTGGTGAATGCCTAAGAAGCATTTACCCAGTGATTTCCAAGGAAGTTTTGGTCTTCTGAAGGCATATGTGAATTTAAGTCTAGGGTGACATGCTTCCAGTGGTAGTCTTGTCCTTACTAACTTGTCTGTCTCAGGTCAGCAACTCCACCTCCTAGAAGCTCTGCCTGGTGCCTTAGGAACTTAGCTCACTTTGTCCAAGTTAGGGGGGCATTTTAACTTGTGATTCAGTGAGGACAGCCAATCCAAGCTGGAAATGGTTCCCTAGGGACATCTGGCTGCCGCTGAAGTTGCTCAAGTCTCATCAGCCAGCCTAACAAGGCTGACATGATGTAAATTTCAAACTGGCCCAATATGATGTGCTCAGCATGGCTAATGAATGATTTCAGCCTTTGGCAAAAGGGGCAGAGTTATTTAAAACCAAACTGTCTTATTTTTTTAAAACAAACTTCCAAGAAACCCATAAAAGGACCTGAAGGATAAAACAAGAAAGCCCAAGATAGACAGAACCATAAAAAGACTCTCTAACCTATTTGTGAGGGAGACATTCCCCCCATTTTCAATTTTATGGCCTTCTTTTTGTTCTTTCCCTTGCTGTGTAAGGATACGGGAATTTTGATTATTAAAAACAAAACAGGCTAGATCATGCCCTTGCTCTGCCTCAAAAAGCTTTACTGGATCTCATCCTAAAAATGATGGACTTTAAAGTTTTGCTTTGGCATTCAGGGTCCTATACGGTATGACCTCAACTCTTTTAAATTACATGCTCCTTGAGCTCTGTCACATGTCCTGGCTCTAGCCATCTCTTGCTAGCTTTGCCCTTGGGCTCATCTTTCCCCTGTGTGTGAAGTCTTCCTTATTCCCATCCTGGTCTACCACTTCATCCTCCCTTCTGTTGACATAACTCAAATCTCTTTCTAAGTGACAATAAACAGCATCCCGACAACTGTATGCCTCTGGTGGCACTTTGCTAGCCTTAATCACACTAGGCCTGGGACAACAGGTATCTCTGCTCGTAGCCACTTCCTCATCAGAACCTAAGTAGCCAGAGACATAAGCCAGGCTGAGTGAGGTTATATTCCCAGAGCCTTGGATGTAGGGGACCCTTTGGAATTATTGGTTGTGGGATGACTGGATTTTTTTTTTTTTTTTTTTTTTTTTTGGTCTTTTTGAGACAGGGTCTCGCTATGCAGTTCAGGTTGGCCTTGAGCTCACTTTGTGGCTGAGGCTGGCCTCAAACTTGCATTGATCCCCCTTCCTCAGCCTCCTGAGTGCTGGGATTACAGGTGTGCACCACCACACCTGGCTTGACTGGACTTTTTAAAATTCAAGTTTTATAAATTCAAACTATGCCATACATTTGTATTCCAAAGGCACAAAAATACCTTTGTCTAGCCACCCAGTTTCCTTCTGTGGAAAAAATTAATTATGATTAGCTTCTGTGAATCTTTCCAGAGACAGGCAAACATGTTCTTCTCCCTTTTAAAATTAAGTGGGGTCATACAGTTCTGTAGTCCGTTTACAATTTATTTAATCAGTTGGGTCTTGCTAACACGTAGGTTGTTTTCATTCTTTTATTATTAAAAAACAATGCAGCAATGAGTAATCTTGATTTGGGTCAATATGCACATCCTTGTATTTTCAAGAATGTAAAGTATAACCTGTAAGAAATAGATTAATGAACAACTGCTTTGCAGGCTGATGTTCAGGATAAGATTTTTAGGTATCCCTGATTATTTTAGGAAGGAGAGGTGTTATGGTGGCCAGAAAAGGGTCCTTGACAGAATACCTGGGTTTGAAGCTCGTCTCCATTACTTTTAGTTGTATGATGTTGAGCCCGTTCAGTGCGCCTCAGTTTCCTCATCTGTAATCTGCACTGTAGCTGTATTAAATGGAGACCTTAAAGCTTTTATGTAACAGTACCTCACAAATAGGCACTCAATAACTGCTGCTACAATTATTTAATAAACAATATACTGTTCTACGTGGTGATGGCAGATTAAGAGGCTACTTAGGGGTCATGATCTACCGCTTTGAAGTAGAGATAAGGGCTTGTGGGGTTGGGTAAATTCCTCAGCAGTACAGCTTTGAGTACATCCCCTAACCTCTCCAGCCTGCTTTGTCACCTACAGAATAAAGTCCAGGTCTCCAGGCTTGCCCTAAATCTTAACTGTCTAACACTCTTAAGTGCTTAACACGAAATTCTTCCCCTCCAATCTAATGGCGGAGACCTCATAAACCCATAAAAACCAGAGGGACGAGAAGAGGGAGGCGTGGACAAGTAACAGCCGATGAGCCCCACGCTGAAGAGAAACAGTCACTAAGCGAAAGGAGGTCGAGGAGTTCCGCAAAACCGCCCCCAAACAGCAGCCGGCGGACACCTATTTTCCCGGAAGCCGAAGCAGCTCAGCGGTCACCCTAGCAACCCCGTTTTCCGGTCCCCCTTGCTTCCCACATCACTACTTCCTGTTTCGGCGTGACGTCATTTTCGGGCGACCGTCTGGTGGTTTCCCGGAAGGGTCCTCGGAGGGGTTCAGAAGAGGGTGGAGGGCGGCGAAGCGGGGGAGTCGAGGTGCTGTCCCCCGCGTACAGTCTACACCCCGGGCTCTGCGTCGCTATGGAGGGCGGGGGGCGGCCCTCGCTGGGGCAGTTTATCCTCCTGGGCACCAGCTCTGTCGTCACCGCCGTCCTGTACTCCGTGTACCGGCAGAAGGCCCAGGTCGCCCAAGAGCTCAAGGTCAGTGCTGGCGCCGCCTTGGACTCAGCCAGGTCATCTCTGCCCCGGTCACGGGGAGCCCATGGTTCGCCTGGACCGCTCCAGAGTCGGAAACTGTCCAGAAGAGGAACCTGGCTCTGAGCGGGTGTCCCCCAGGCAGTCAGTGGAGGAGCTAGCGTCACAATTGGGGTCTGTGATACCGGCCACTCTGGCCATCCCTTTTTCTCCAGGGATCCTCTCGTTACTCTTGACTTTCGAGTTTATCATTAATTTATTCTGAAAAATACTTTTGGGACACCTGCCGTGCACCAGGCATCGAGTAGAACAGATAGAAGTTTCCGCCTCCCCGAGAGTTCATTGAAATACATACACAGATAATAAACACTTTATCAGGTGGTATGGATGTGACATGTTGAGACGTGCTTTAGGAAGAGGGAAAATGGAAATGCTTGGGGGGTTGCTGTTTTAAAAGGTGACAGTTTTTGGAGAGCCGGAGGACTTGGGTGGGACATCCAGGTATCTAGTATATGTGTTGCCAAAGCAAGCATGACATCCAGGTATGTAAAGAGCAGTTCAGACCGAAGGAAGAGCAAGTGTAAAGACCCGTTAACCACTCAGCTACTTCTACAAACGGTCCCTTTTTATATTATAGGGGATTTTTTTCTTCCCTGGTATTGGAGCTTGAACGCAGGGTCTTCACACTGTGCTATATACCAGCCCCGCTCCGCCCTTTAATTTCGAGAGTTCTAAGTTGCCCAGGCTGAGCTTGAACTTTCAGGCCTTCTGCCACAGCCTCCCAGAGTACCTCTATTAGTCAGAGGCACCACACCCAGGCATATTTAGTTACTTTAAAAAATAAAACGTTTTGGAACTGCACTTTACAGTTTTCACAGCACATTTCCATCTCTTTCATTTTTTCTGTACAATAATTTTCTGAGACAGATTAAATGACAGTTATCCCTCAGTTGGAAAGCAGGAGAGATTCAGAGGGAAGGTCATATACCCAGTTAGCATGGAACTTAAACTTAGGTCCTTTGAGCCCAAAGGCAAGACTTTCTGATAGACCACATTGCTTTGTTGGGATTGTGGGACCCATCTAGAGAGACTGACTTTCCTGTGTGTGCTGCGGAAGCAAGCATGAGATTGACCTCTTTAGGTCAAAGACAGGATCTTACCTTTTCTCTTTTCTCCTGAGTTCTAACTCAGTGCTTGACAAGTCATAGGTACTCAATAAATATTGGTGGGTGTGTTTTGTGTGGAGTCTCACAATTCAGTGGCCAAAGGCCTAAGTTGATACTTACAGAAAAGGTGGATTCCCAAACCCAATTTCTGTATCATCAGATTGATTTCAGTAAGGGCTGGGAAACAAATGCAGGAAAAGAAGTTTTGGAATCTGGAATGAACCACTTTATGAGGCTATTGGATTTGTTGTGCAAACGGCATTCTAGTGAGATTCCAGCTGCCCTGTTGTTCACCTACTTACACAATCAAATTACGCCTGATCAGCTCTGAGTGTAATTGATGCTTCACTTTCTGACTCTAAAACCAATTCAGCTTCAAGAGGGTTGGATATGAGATTGTTTGAAGCAGAGGACTCTCTAGGCCCCACCATTGTGTGACCTTCAAAGCTTTGCCAATTACTTTCTGAAAGAAAATGAAGCAACCCCTTCCTGGAAAAAGGTTTGGGGTCTCTAATATTGTAGATTCTCTCTTCTTGGTTCAAGTACAAAACTTTCAGAGTAGGGTTTGTGTCTTAGCTTACGTGTTTCTCACTGTGATTGAAAGGCGTATTTATTGCATGCTCCTCAAGTGCCATCCCCTGGGCTGAACTGTTCCACACCTTAAAATTCGTTTAATCTACATTAAAAATCCTGTGTTTTCCCCAACCTTTACTGTTTTGGGAAGTGAGGTTCAGGTAAAAACTAATCTGCCCAAAGCCACAGTAGATAAATTGAAGCTTACTTTAGTCAACTCTGGATTTTTCTGACCATATTCTCCATCCCTCTACCTCTTAAAATTCTCATCTGCCATCCTGTGTTGGATTCTTTACTAGCTGTGTGACTTTGGGCAAATAACGTTACCTGTCTGAGCCCCAGCTCCTTTTTTTTGGTAATTGAAGATAATAATGCCTGCTCTGTGAGGCGGTGTCAGCATTAAGTAGGTTTAGGCATTTAACATGCTTAACATAGTGCTTGGTACATAGTATATATAAGTACTTCATAAGTCACTACTTCAGTTTTCAAAATATATTGAGTGCTTGCTGTGTGTCAGGCACTGTTCTTGGCACTAGAAGAGATTCCATTCTAGTACAGCTAGACAGACAGTAGACACTTGATCAGATGGGATCACATGGAAGAAAGTAATACAGGGAAGATGCAACACAGGGAGGTAGGAGAGCTAGGGAATGTTGGAAGAACACAGCAGCAGAAGGAACTGTGCTTGCTTCATTGTAAGACTAAAGAAAGAAAGTTAAAAATAGAACAGTGTCAAGGGGCTGGGGATTTAGCCCAGTGGCACAGCGCCTGCCAGGCAAGTGCAAGGTTGTGAGTTCGATTTCTGGTACTGGAATAAAAAACAAAAACAAAAAAATAGAACAGTGTTGGACACCAGTTAACAGAGACTAGCCTTAATAAAGCAAGGGCACCCCTTTGTGATAATGTACAGCGCAGAGCTTCAGTGTATAAGACTCAGTGTTAACAGTACCTGCCATTTCTTGAGACCCTGTCATGTACTAGGCAAGAGGTTAGGTGCTTTATACCTTAACTTTTTGGACATAGCTCTCTGTTGTCAAAAAGAAATTAAATGATGTTTAATTAGCAGTATGCAAATTGACTAGTACCTTTTATATTTTCAGTAAAAAAAAGTTCAAATTAAAAGGAGTGTTATTGGGGCCGGGGATATAGCTCAGCAGCATAGCGCCTGCCTGGCAAGCGCAGAGTCCTGAGTTTGATTCCTGGTACCAAAATGGATGAATGAATGAGTGAATGGGGTGTTGTTTTTTTAAATGGATAAATGTGTATTGGCAACTCCATTGTGTGGTAAGGGAGGAGGGCGGAAGAATTCCTCGACCTGTTTACATGCTGAAAATTCTGGGACAAACTTTGAAATCAGATTTTCTGTGGTCTCCTTCCTGCCCAGTTTCCTCATTCTTGCAACATTAAACAAGCAAACAATCATTTTTTTGCCCTTACTTTTGATTGAGCATGTCAGTAATCAGTGAACAATTTTGTATGTTTTTTTGCATTTAGGGAGCTAAGAAAATCCACTTGGGTGAAGACTTAAAGAATATTCTTTCAGAAGCACCTGGAAAGTGTGTGCCTTATGCTGTTATTGAAGGTATGTTTGTTTAGTGACAAATGGAAAACAACCTCCTTCTTCCAAAAGTTTAACAAAGGTTGTCTTGGCTAACATTAAGTGTCTCTATTTTGTTGGGGCCGTAGTTCAGAAGGTACTTTGGAGTAAAAACCTGGGGCATTTATATCTGACGATGGACAAGATTATCAAACCTTTCATAGCCTGATTATTTTAGGGATTATGTAAGTCTTAAATGATGTTAACTATGTAAGGTATTTACCAGAGTTCTCCTAAAGCCTACCCTGTGGTAGCATAGATGCTGTCATTTTGATTAATCAATGTAACTCGAACGGAAGACACGTTTTGAATTACCTTCAGGAGATGACAGAACTGTGCTTTAGAAATCAAGTGATTTGTTTCCACTTAGGAGCTGTGCGATCTGTCAAGGAAACACTGAACAGCCAGTTTGTGGAAAATTGCAAGGGGGTGATTCAGCGGCTGACGCTTCAGGAGCACAAGATGGTGTGGAATAGAACAACCCACCTTTGGTAGGTGTCCTGTGAAACCCTCCATCCGGTCTGTTCAGACTCTGGGTCCTGCCTGCTGCTGCCATGTCTTTCACCCTCCCCCGCCCCCGAGACAGGTTGTAGACCAGCATCTTGATTGCTAGATGTGCTCAGTGGGCCTCTATCTTACTTACTTTTCTCTCGTTGCTGAGACAAAATACCCAGTGCCCAAAATTAAGAAGGAAAGGTTATTTAGCTTATAGTTTGTGAAAGTTCAGTCCATACTTGGCTCCAAGGCAGAATGGCACATGGTGGAGGGCAAAAGTTCATGGTGGCAGAAAACAGCAAAGGCAACAAGAGCAAAAAGTAAGAGCAGTGGTAAGCAACCTCTTTCCCTCCCTTACATTGTATGTAAACTATCTGCCCAGGGGTGGGTGTAGCATTCACATCCATAATCCCAACACTGGACCATGAATCAATCATAAACTGTAGAAGCCCGCCCCATGACTGCACGATGCTTTGGGGGGGCGCCCAGACACAAACCATTACAGTCTCTATCGGAATCCCCTAGGCAGCTTGCTACCATGAGGATTCTTAGGCCTACTTCCACATCTACCAAGCCAGAATCTACAGCATGGGGAACCTGGGAATCCGTTGATTCTTACACATACTAAGGTTTAAGAACCACTGTTACAAATTAATGATTTCAGTGTTTAAAATAATTTTGTACCACTGCATGGAGTACCATTTTCCCATCTGATCCTAGCAGGTTTTTGTCTTACTTATTTGACAGAGGCAAAGGGGAATGAATGATAAAGGTGATCTGTGACACTAGTTGTTGCCCACTGGTGCTACCTGAGGACCTAAGGAATTGAGCCTCCCTATGCTGAGGTCTTGCTAGTGATTTCACTTGTAGTCTCCGGCTGCTCTGCTTTGGTCCTGTCTTCCTGGTGCTTAGGTGATCTCTGACCTTGCCTCAGTGCTTGGTACTTGCTACCCTTTGTTTCATCTTCAGTTCTGTTATTTTAGGAATGATTGTTCAAAGATCATTCACCAGAGGACCAACACAGTGCCCTTTGATCTGGTGCCCCACGAGGATGGTGTGGATGTGGCCGTGCGAGTGCTGAAGCCCCTGGATTCCGTGGATTTGGGCCTAGAGACTGTGTACGAGAAGTTCCACCCCTCAGTCCAGTCCTTCACGGATGTCATTGGCCACTACATCAGTGGTGAGCGGCCCAAAGGTATCCAGGAGACTGAGGAGATGCTGAAGGTGGGGGCCACGCTCACCGGGGTTGGAGAACTGGTCCTGGACAATAACTCCGTCCGCCTGCAGCCCCCCAAACAAGGCATGCAGTACTATCTGAGCAGCCAGGACTTTGACAGCCTGCTGCAGAGGCAGGAGTCGAGCGTCAGGCTCTGGAAGATCCTGGCCCTGGTGTTTGGCTTTGCCACGTGTGCCACCCTCTTCTTTATCCTCCGGAGGCAGTACCTACAGCGGCAGGAGCGCCTGCGCTTGGAGCAGATGCAGGAGGAGTTCCGGGAGCACGAGGCCCAGCTGCTGAGCCAAGCCTCGCCGGAGGACAGGGAGAGCCTCAAGAGTGCTTGCGTTGTGTGTCTGAGCAACTTCAAGTCCTGTGTCTTTCTGGAGTGTGGCCACGTGTGTGCCTGTCGTGAGTGCTATCGTGCCTTGCCAGAGCCCAAGAGGTGCCCCATCTGCCGGCGGGAGATCACCCGGGTGATTCCCCTGTACAACAGCTAACAGCCCTGCGGCCACACAGCTGCACCGGGAAGCAGCCTCCGCCTGCTCAGGGAGTTCGTCCTGAGGCCTCTGGAAGAGCCGCCGTGGACTGCTGTACCTCCAGGTGTGACTGAGCGTGAAGTGTCCAGACCCACACCTCCACCAGCAGGGCGTTGCCAACCAGAACATGTCGGGGAGCCCTTGCTCTGTGGAAGCCATGGCCTGACATCGTTTCCTGAGAAGCAGATCGATGTGGGGGAGACCTGGAGGACCCCATTGCCCCCTTGGCGGCTCTTCTGGACCCTGCTGGGGATGTTGATGGCTGCAGCTCTGGGGAAGAAAGGCGGGTTCCTGAGGGCCTCACGGAGCTGCCTGTGAGGATGCTGTTCTGCAGCTTTTCTTCTTTTGCTTCCGCCTGGGGAAAAGGTCTTTCTTCAGAATTGTCAGGCTGGGCAAGTCCCTCGTGTTCCTTTGTCCTCAACTGCTTGCCTCCTAAATGTGTGCATGTGTGTAAGAGGACAGAGGAAGTGAGGCCAGCCCCTCTGCCTCTGCCCAAACAGGTGGGCCACAGCTGAGCAGAGGGACAAGCGGGGTCTTGGGTGATTGTCAGGTAGCCCTGCTGGTAACCCCTCTGACCCGGGAAGGTCCTCCAGAGAGCACACCTTGGTCCTGAGGTGCAGCTCCTGCAGCTTGCAGGGCCCCAGGCAGTTCAGCTTTCCCAGCGGGAAGATGAGCCTGGAAGCTGACCTGAAGGAAGCCACAAAGACTTTGCTGAGCTTGCTCCTGGCTCTTGTATCTTCGCTTGCTTTCACCAAGGAAAAGTAGCCAGCTGGCAGCCAGGCACCCAGCTGATCAGAGCTGTTCCCTGTCCCTGGCCGGTGGCAGAGGTAACATCCCTGGGGGGCAGTCACATTTCCTGCCCTTCGCCCTTCACCCCTCTCCTGTCCCGGCTGAGCCTGTGAGTGTGAGCGAAGTTGGGGAGCATCTTTCCCCACCTCTGAGTGGCCAAAAATACACAGAGCTCTTTATTGTCCCTCCCTGTCCTTGAACCTTCATCCCCCATCCTCCCTTGTGTGGGGGATGGGGTGCGCTCAGGGGGCTGACACTGGTGTCACGCGGTGTCCAATGTGCACAGCACAAATTAAACACATTGCAACCACGTGCGTACCTGTTGCTTTGTTCATGAGAGCTAAAAACCTAAACTGAGGCTTCCCCAGCTGGGACTGCGTCCCTGCCATGATGGAGTGGAAGCTGACGCTCGGAGGCCTCTGTGTCTCCTTTCTGGGCTGTGGGGTGTTTTGGTTTCCCCAGGTTGGATGCAGCTGGGTAAGAGGCCCCAGTGCTTGCCGCCATGGGAGGCGTCTGCTGAGCTGCTGTAGACAGCCAGCCCACGGCTCTGGCCTTGCTAACACAGGTGAAGACATCTGTCTTGATGTCCTGGCCACCAGAGCAGCAAGGGTCCACCTGCTGGGAGACTTGGCCAGGTGGGATATTTGGGCACAGCAAGGGGGAAACGAACATTCAGTGAGGACCACTGTGTACCTGGAATTGTACCAAAGGCTGCTTCAGCCTTCACCTAGAGTAGGTGTTCACCCCCACAGGCCTGCCAGCTGAGCCCTAGTGTCCCCACTCCACAGATGAAGTAAGCCCCAAGAAGGACGTTCCCTGGCCTGAAGGACAGAGCTGACATGTGACGGCTGCAGCCTAAACCCCAGGCTGCTTCCTGTCACTCCAGCAGGGCCTGCTGATTGCCTGTGTCAGCAGGAACGCCCCACACCATACTGATTCCCTGGCTGGTGGCCACACAGCAGGTGAAAATGCTATCACTGAACCACCAATGCTGGTGGTCACACGGGAGGAATGGGCACAAACTGTGACTTCGCTTGCCGGTGCTGTGTGCCGCCCATTGTGCCGTGAGGGCCCTGACAGGAATGACCACTGTGAACCCTTGAGGACATCTGCCCTCTTCCCTTGCCCTTTCAGCACTCATTCCGTGAGGGTCCAGCTTCCAGTGGGCTCCCAGGGATTTATGGGGGATTTCAGAGTTGAGCCCTTGGTGTGAAGTTGTGAGTAAAGCTGATCAAGGAGATTAGGAAGAAGGAAAGGCTGCCCTCTACCCAGCCCGTGCCAGTCGGAGCAGGCTTCATTGGTCGTCTCAGGCTGCCTCCAGACGGCTCCGTCCCTGCTGTGGGAGAGCACACAGTCCCAGCCTCAAAGTGGGTGTGTCCCCAGACAGGTGTCCCAGACTGTGCATTTGAGGTCCTTGCGTGGTCTTGGCCTGTCTGAGACTGGGATTGCCTTGTGCTCTGCTGTGGCTGTCACCTGCGGCAGTTCCCGCCTACATTTTAGGAGCCTCATTCCATGAGGCGAATACGTGGAACTGAGGTTGAGGGGTTGGGGGTGGGAGTTATAGAAGCAGAGGTAGAAAGCTGGTGTGGAGCTGACTGGGATTGTTGTGAGTTTTTATGGGTCTAAGGCAGTCCAGTGGTCAGTCCTTAGACTCCTAGGCAGGCACAAACAGGAATGATAATATTCTTTATTTTCCTGAATACTCACAGCAAACCAGCAAAAAAAGCTAAGCCTGTGAAGTTCTGACTGCAGCCCACTACCTTGACTTGGTGCCTGGGAGACGTTATGCCTGGGAGCCTAAAGGGAGGATGCTCTATGAGGCTGCGGAGTCCAGGCAGGCATCCCTTAGTATCATGGGGGGGGGTCATTTCCAGGATCCCCATGGGTACCGTAATCCACATAGGCTTAAGACCCTCAGGTGAAATGGCCTAGTACTTGCTTATAATCCGTGTACATCCTCCTATATGCTAAATCATCTCTAGGTTACTTACAGTGCCTAACATAAGGTAAATACTATATAAGTAGTTCTTATGCTGTGGTGTTCATGGAATAATGACAAAAAAGTACATGTTCAATTTTTTTTCCCCTGAATACTTTTGATTGCAGTTGGTTAAATGCACAGGTGCGGAACCCACGGATTTAGAGAACCAACTGTATTACCATAAACAGCATTTTACAAGCCAATCAGCACCTCAAGAAACACCAATCACTCCCCCAGCAGATCCTGTGGAGCGGGGGCTGGAAGGCCGTCTTCGGAATCCTAATTTATTTAAATTTCTACTGGAAAATTTAGAGAGCAGATGACATCGGGACTAAGTAGGTTTATCTCAGATGCTTTTTGCAAGTCTGATCCTAGGCCGTAAAGAGGCCAGCTGAGCACAGTACCAGACCCAACAGGCTCTGGCCTCAAGCACTCCAGCACCCTTGTAAGGTTTACAGAATGTTATAGCTGCGTGCTTTCTGTCTTAGTCCATTTTCTGCTGCTGTAACAGAAAATCTGAGGCTGGGTAATTTATAACAATCAGATCAGCTGGCTGGGAAGTCTAGGAGCAAGGTTTTTGCATCTGGGCAGGGCCTTCTTGGTGTGTCACAACACAGTGCAGAGCGTTACACCACGAGGGAGCGCCTAAGAGACTCCCGAAATCCAGCCAGACTCATCCTGTGATTAGGAGCTCACTCCCAAGATAACTACCCCACTTCCTTGACCAAACACCTCCACAGGCTTCTACCTCTTAACCCTATTACAGTGGCAATTCAATGCAACATGGGGGCTGGGGATATAGCTCAGTATGCCTGGCAAGTGCAAGGTCCTGAGTTTGATTTCCGGTAACCCCCTCCCCTCCGCAAAGTGCAACATGGATTTGGGAAGGGAGATTGGCCTGTCTCTGACCATTAGAAGTAAACCAAAGCAGGGCAGTGTGTCATTGTGGAGGGAGGGCCAAGCAGAGAAAACCTACCCCTCAGTGTCTAGAATGATCTACTTAAGCCACCAACCTGACCGTGTCCCTCCTCAGTTTAGAGCCCATCCCAAGCTCCCTGCCACCCGCACAACAGCTCGGCTGTCCTGTGGTATGTGAAGTCCTGCATGGCCCAGCCCAGCCACCTCTCCCAGCTTGCTGGCATCCCTGTCTCACTCTTGATTCCAGTGACAACAAACTGGTTTAGCTTTGGAGGGGACAGGGTCTCACCATGTAGTTCAGGCCAGCCTTGAACTCAGTATGTACTCCAGGCTGGCCTCAAACTTGGAACTCATCCTACTACCTCAGCCTCCTGAATTCTGGGATCAAGGTGTGCAACACCATCCCTGCTGACTCTGAACTGTTCAGTTTCCTTAAACATGCCACACTGCCCTCTGCCTTGGCTCATGCCGAGCCTGCCTTTGTAGTTCTGGTCCTTTCCCCACCTGGCTAACATCCACTCCCCCTGTAAACTCTGCTGGAGGTATCTCCTCCAGAAGAGCTCCCAGGATCCCCTCTGGCCTTGGGTGGGCATCCCTCCCCTGAGATTCCAAAATACATCCTCTTGCCTGTCTTCCTGCTCTAAGCCATGTGGGTTCAGGTCGCAGGCAGGGGCTGTATCATTTTGTTTCCAGGGGCCCTGATGACAGCTGCGTGTGCTGACCCCCTCTCATCTCCTTTGCAAGTGTTTATGTTATTCTTTCTTTTAATAAAAGGAAACTGTAACCAGAGAAGTCGAGTGTTTTGCCCAAACACACGAGAGGGAAAGGATTAAAACCCAGGTGGTCCAACTCTGGGGCCCAAGCTCCTACCCACTAAATGTCTGTGGAATGAATAAGGAAATCAGTGCATGAAACAGTGGGTGTGGAGGAAATGATCCTGGAGGGCTGTCTGGAGGAGTCGGGTTTTGGCGCACAGAGGAGAGCCATGACCTAGTTGGAAGGAGTGAGGGAGGGCCTCTCGGGGCTGGCTGCCCAGGAGGATGGGTTGTGCAGGAGGGACAGGGTGACGAGCAACCTGCCCAAGCTTTGAGGACTCCACACAGGCAAGTCGGGGCAATGCCGTTGGTGTTGACAAATGGCTAGGCTGGGAGCCCAAAGACGGGCTTTCGCTGTGGTCCTGGCTCCATGGCTATGGGATCGTAATCCAGAGATCTGACCTCTTTGGGCCTTGGTTCTGTCTGTAAAAGGAGCTAGTTGGATTAGAAGCTCTCCAGGGCTCTGTTCAGCTCAGATATTTTGCATGTGCACAAGATGGAGAGGGGATGAGGGCATCAGGCGTCTAGAGCCCCTCGGTGCGGCGGCGGGCCTGAGAGATGAGGTGCGCCCACAGCCTTCTGAGAAAGCCCGGGCGCTCAGCACATTCCCTCTCTAATTAGATAGCGGTAACTTATCAATTTTGAATGAGATAAGTTTCCATGCATGATGTCCCGAATTGCTCCCCAAAGTGCTCATTAGTCACTTCCCGCAGCTGCCTTATTGTTTTCCAGATGCCAGCGAGGGACTTGGCATTTCCCTTTCCTGAGCTGGGGCAGGCGAGGCCGAGCCGATGACACAGGCAGGCGCGGCCCAGAGGGGCTGAGCAAGTGGGAGAGGCTCCTCATCGCTTGCTCTTTGCCCTGCCAGAGCCATCGTGTCACCTTAGAGCCCTCAAAGCTGGATTCCTCTGCAGCTGGACCATGACTCTGGTGGCCCACAGCTGAACCAAACAACCAGTTATCAGCATTTACTGTGCCAGGCACCTGGCATCTGTAATTGGGATGCTCCCTAGGCCTGGGGGCAAGTTGAGGTCATCTTAGTGCTCAAGTTACTATAACCGCAGGCGCCACGCCCTCAGTTTTCCCTCTTTATGGTGCCCCTTAGGGTGGTGCTGTGCAGACGCTTGCAACAGATCACTCCCCTTCCTGCTTCCCGTCCTCTTTTCTCCTCGGCGACAGGATTTGTGCGCCCATGCTGCCTCCTATGCTGCAGTCTCCTCCACGATCCCCAGATGGCGCTGTGCCTCCATGATTGAAGCAGTCAGAGACCTTGGAAGAGAAACCGAGGTTGTGCGCGTGGTGCCCCTGCGTTGCTCTCTCCCTCCTGCGTGTGGACCAGGCCTTAGAAGCCCGAGGGAAGCATCTGGGGAGAGTGCTGGGCTGCTGCTCCTGGCACCAGCTTGGCACTGCCGGAAAGGGCAAAGCAGAAATTCTCTCTCCACTTCCCTCCTACCTCTGCCCATCGCACCAGGAAGCTGGCTGGCTGCAGATGTGAAAGTTATGAGAAACCCAGATAATGGGGCAGGGGGGGAAGAAACAATCCCACATTTCTTCCTCTGTAATTTCCCAGGCATTCACATCTTTAAATATACTAACCA